CTGGGGGAGCGGGGCCCGCGCCTCCCGGCGGCCGCTCCTGGTGTGTGGCCGCGGCTGCCCCTTGGGAGGGACACTTCTAAATTCATCCTCAAGGGCGACAAGAGCGTCCCTGGGGTGGGGACAGGTTGGCAGGGAGCCCTGGGGGACTTGGCTGCTGCTCGGGCAGTGCATGAAGTGATGGTGCCAGCGAGTGCCTTGGGGGTAAAGCATCTCGGAAGAAAACATATTTATGTATTTAGGTCACCTGCCATGTGACTAACTTGGCTGCTGGGATTGGGCGGGACAAGTTGCAAAGTGGTATTGGCAGCTGGGATTTTTGTTTTTAATGTTAAAGCTTCAGTTTGTGGATTGGTGCGATTCTGTGGACGTCTCCAAGGCTTTGAAAAAGAGCTTGAGGGATTGGGTTTCAAACTCTTTTTTCTCCCCCTCCTTCTTCCTTTCCACAGAAGGCAAATAAAGACATCAGTCATAGCTCGTGGATGCCTTTGCTAGAGTGTGGGTTACTGAAGATGATAGTAATTAGCCCGTGCTGCTTATGAACTGTCACGTGGCTTTGTTTACTGGCTAAGGAAGCTGCTCTGTGCTGAATTCACCCACTTGCCCTGTCTTCTGGTCTTTGACAGGTGTAAAGTGCCCTTTATTTTTTGTGAAAGTTGCTGCGCACCATCTTGTCTGCTCTTTGAGTTGGGTTTAAATAACATAACCATAAAACTGCCTTACTTTGTTAGGCCCTTCTCTAAGGGAGGTCTCTTGTATGTGCTGTAAATAAATCCACTTCTACCTGTTGTCTCCTTGCAGATTGTAGCTGGAATCAAGTATATCATGGAAGTTGAGATTGCCCGGACAACCTGCACAAAGTCAGCACCTGAAATCCAGAGCTGTGCTTTCCATGAGGCACCAGGGCTGGCTAAGGTAGGCTCCAAAGCAGTGTGTCCTGCTCCCTGGGCTTTCAACAGCTTTCTTGCAGCTGGTCTAGAGCAGAGTTACGAGTGGTGTCACTTGTCTACCCCAGCCAAGATCAGAGACTTTATGCTTATTGAGATGGAGCCACTGCATAACTTGCCTGACCAGACAATGCTAAGAAAGTCAATGTGGTCTTTTAGCCTCTTCCCTGAGCATGGACCTGAGGCTGTAGTGCATGAAATGTTTCCTCAGCCCCTTGAAATTGCTTGTGGCTTTGATTCCAGGAATATTCAGGAGAAAACTTGCTAGCCAAGATTGATTTCAGATCTCCAAGTCCCTGAATCCTCCCTGCTCCTGTTGTCTCATGGTGATACAAACAAACTTGATCTTTTTTTCCTATGGATACTCATTACTGCTGATAGCACTCTGGACAAGGGCTGATAGTGAATGGCAGGATACCCCAATTCTCTGTTACCCACCAAGCCAAATTAGGTCCAAATCTTGTCTAATTACAGAAACTCTTTAAGAACCACTTCAGCCTCTCAGATAAGAGAACACTCAATGTGTTCATTCTGCCCTGATCTGGTCAGTCTAGTCCCACAGAATTTCATTACTAGTGTTAATCACTGTGATAGGTGCCATTTCTCTGCTGAATGTGCCTGCACAGATGAGAACTGTAACTTTATGCAAGTGCCCCATTAAACACCTCTCTAGAAACTTGTGTACCACTGCTGCAGCGGGAGTCCTGGTACCCCTCGATGGGGTAGATGCATACAAATGAGGTAGTGGCACAAATGTACTTGCCCATGCTTGAGGAATTATGTCAATATTGCCCTGGCTGAAAACTTTCCAGCAACGGGAACTTAAAAGTGAGCAGAGGAAGTAATCTGATCTTCAGAAGTGCTGTTTGCTCTGCTTTCCTGTTAATGTTTGAGAGAAGTGGTTAATATGGAGCACATAGTCACAAGAGTAGTAGTACAGAACACAAAGTAAAAAAAAGTACAAATAATCTGGAGGGCAGCAAGAATGGCATATATTCTTGTTCACTGAAAATGTAGTTAAGTCTGTGTGTAGGGGGGGGAAAAAAAGGTCAAAGATGCTCTGTTTTATGCAATCTGGTAACTTTCTCTTTCTTTTCTCCATAGCGTGTCACTTGCAACTTTGTAGTGTACTCTATTCCTTGGCTAAACCAAACTAGACTGCTGAAAAACAGCTGCCAGGAAGTCTGACTTGGTTCCAGCAGAGACCAGCAACTTGTTACTCAGATTTAAAAAAGAAAGCAATAACCTGAATTGAGATGGACTGTGTCTGTCCCTGTTAACTCAAACAGTTATGTATGCTTGTGCTATGCAAGTTAAACTATGTAACCTTCCTTTAAAGCAGAGTATGATCTCTACTTTGTTTTCCTTTATAATTGCATTTTGGAGCAGTAGTTTCCAGGATTGTGTTTTCCAAACTTTCTCAATAAAACAGCTCCCACATCTGAATTCCTCAAAAATAATAAATAAAAAATGTTGGCATCCCCCTTAAGTGACTACTGTAAACATTAAAATTTAGTTAATCCCTAATGTGTAATCCTCTTTGTGATGAACATCTGTTGTGCTGGATGTGCAGGGCTTTCCTCTAGTGAACTAGTCTATCATGCACAGAAGGGAAGGAGAAGAATGTGAGGCCCTCTTTGCAGGAGAGCAAGGTCTCCACTGTCCTGCCCAGTGACTTACCTGTTCCCAGCATCTTGGCAGCACTTCTTACCTGTTCTCACTGAAGGAGACTGGTGCTGCTTTTGAAAGCAGTGGAAACAATGTGGTTTGCAACTATTGCTTTTGTTAAGGGCAGCCTTCAATTTGAATGTCTAATCTGGGCAAACATCTTTAACGTGGCAGGCAGAGAGGATCAGCACCCAAGAACACTTAAGGGAACTTGCAGGGGAACTTGCATAATAAACTAAGCTCAGTTTGGACTGCAGGGATGTGGGGACTACTGTGCCAGCCCCCCCAAAAAAAAAGGGAGGGCAAAGGAGATGATGATGATACCAATGACCTACCTAGCAGAATAGTCTAGTGATATATTAATGGAAAAATAGGTAAGTGGTGTGAAGTGAGTAACTATCAATGTTGGAAAAAGGATCCTCTGCTGTAGCACCTGTGTAGTCTTATGGCACATGGGTGTTGTCCACAGAATGCCCTTTTATTCCTTGAGTGTTGAAGCTTCCCCAGAAGCAAAGCTGTAAATTCAAGAGCGTGCACAAGACTGCTGGGATCTTCCACTCAGGCACATCTGTGTATCCCACTGTGCTTTGGATTGATGCGAATTTCACAGGGAAGCATAGCTATGGATCTAGAAAAAAGAAAAAGTAGCTTTTGAGTGTTTTGAAATATTGAGACCAAAAACTCTAGTGCAAGATATGAGGAAGCTTCAACAAGCAGAATGGCAGAGAGACTTGGGCCGGCATGTAAGAGGGGTCTTAGTTTTTTTCTCATTGTGGAAGACCTGTTGGAAAGAGCAGAATCCTCTTAAAAAGATTAAACCTCCAGATAGCAGGGGAAGTTGCCAGATTGAGAGAAGGAGCCACGAGAGTGGATGAACGTGCTGAGGTGAATGATGGAGAAACTTCATGTTTTGTATAGTGCCAAGTTTCTGTCTTGGTAAGAACACTTAATGGAAAACAGGACAAAAACTTCAAAAGGGAGACACAACTGCCCAGTGAAGGGGTGAATTTTCTAGGGCTCTCGTGCATTCCAAGGAGATGAGACAGCTTCCAGAAAGCTGACTTTAGCCCAGCCCATGTGATAGGACTCACAGCCAAGCACAACTGCATGAGAACAAGAACTTGTGCTAACTACGAGATCCCTCTCAAGTGGATAGTGGCCTTAAATGTCCTCATTAGGAGTGTGTCTTCTGTGCCCTGCCCTCCCTTCCAGGGGGAAGGCCACCTCCTACCATTGCCACAGTTTAATGAGTTCGCAGTGAGCACAAAGCCAGATCCACAACCACCTTCAGCCAGGTGAGTTGGGTGTTTGATGTTGGATGTTCCTCCAGGATTTATAATCCCCATTCCCACTGAGGGCAGTGTGTTGAGACAGCACATTCCTATTACTCATGAGATGAGTGATTATGCAGATGTTGGTCTGCTGTGCTGCTGTCTCAGTAACCTGGCTAATTGAGTGAATCACCATGCCAAACCTCTCAGATGCCCTTTCTCGTTATTTTTCTAATTCTCCCTTCACTCAAACATGCTAACCTCCTTTTTGTAGTTTATCTGTGTAAGGACCGGGCAGTGGTGAATGAGCTCTGTGACTGTGCTTTGGGTATGTTTGCCTATGCTCTTTGCTTCTCCCTTTTATAGAATCATAGAATCATTATGCTTGGAAAAGACCTTCAAGATAATCAAGTCCAACTGTAAACCCATCACCACCCCTACTAAACCATGTCCCTAAGTGCCTCATCTACAGGTTTCTTGAACACTGCCAGGGATGGTGACTCCACCACTTCCCTG